CTGACAGTGACAACACCAAGTTAGCCACTAACTCCAGTGGCCCAAAGAGTGTGGGAAATAGTTCCTGACCTAAATGCGCAGTGTGCCTGACATTAGATATGGCAGAAAAAAGTGTAACGCTTTTCCCAATTAGGAAATGGCCCAATTAGGAAATAGTGCGGACATCGTCATGAACAGTGACAACACTAAGCTAGCCACTAACTCCAGTGGCCCAAAGAGCGTGGGAAACAGTTCCCAACCTAACTGCACACTGTGCCTGACATTAGGTGTGGCAGAAAAAAGTGTAACGCTTTTCCCAATTAGGAAATGGCCCAATTAGGAAATAGTGCGTACATCAAAGCGGACACTACAAAATTTCAGCATCACTTTGGTCAAAGCTATTGGTAAATATATGTAAACAAACTTCGAAATGAGGGTTTTCTGACTTCCTCTGCTTAAATAAAAATAAATTATGGTTCCTGATACCATGGTATGGTATGAGGATGCATGGTATGGTGTGGTATAGTATGGTATGGTGTGGTATGGTATGGTATGGTGTATGGTATGGTATGGTATGGTATGGGAGTGCAATACCATGGTATGGTATGAGGGTACATGGTATGGTATGAGGGTGCATGGTATGGTATGAGGGTACATGGTATGGCATGAGGGTGCAATACCATGGTATGGTATGGTATGGTATGAGGGTGCAATACCATGGTATGGTATGGTATGGTATGAGAGTGCAATACCATGGTATGATATTTTGATAATGAAGACTCTTAGGACAACAAGACTTGATTCTATTTCCAATTAACAAGACTTTGGATTGGACAGATTCACTCAGCTTCAATAAATTGGACCAAATATTATGACAAAGAAGACTTTGGCCACAACAATACCTGATTCCATCATATGTACTTTTTAAGAAAATTGAGATTATATGCTGTTGTTGGCCATACTATATGTACATGCTATGTAAGTAGGTAGGACTGCCTGATTGGCCCTACTGGGCAAAATATATTTGACCTATTATTGGGAGGATTCATATTAATGGCTTTTTAGAAATGAAAAAACCCTCAATTGAACTGATTTCCAAAGGTTGGAGTTGACTTATCTAGCCTCCACTTGGAGTTGGAAATCTTAGAAAAAACCTGAAGAACCTTTCCACTTTTCTTTGCTTCTCAATGACCACTTCATCCCAATAGATGTGGTATTGTTTGATTTGGATGAATATTGTTCAAATAGAAAGGACTGGGAAAGACATGTATCATTAAATGGCTTTGGATGCATGAGAAAAGCTGGGATAAAGCCTATTTAAATTCATTTTCAATAGATGGTTTGGACTATCTAGCCTCAATTTGTAGTTCAATATCTCAAGAAAAACATGGAGAACCACCCCACAAAAAATGGTACCCAATGGACCAGTATTGCAGCCTGCAGAATTTATTTATTTATTTTGGAAAAGGACCCCAGACACCCTGTGACAGCTTTGGTATGATGGTATCATACCATCTGGTATGGTATAACATGACATGGTATGGTATGGTAACTTGGTATTGGTATGAGTGGGATATGGTATGAGTTTTCCATTCCATGGTACCATGGTATTGGTATGGTGCTTACATACCACTCTGGAATGGGTACCCTTGAGGTACCCTTAAATCAAAGAATTCATATACCTCGGGGGTACCCTAAAATGGGTGACTGAAGTGAATCACCCAACGAATTCAGAGAACGACCTCAACTTACAATGGGCAGGCTAAGTTTCGATGTGTTGCCTGAATACGAAGTCGATTGAATTGTTGCCAAGTGCACGCAGAGGGGCAGGAACGGGCGCAAGATACCGATCTACCGTTTGCAATATACTAATTATGGACCAGAGAGCAACACTTGGGAGACAAGGCAAAATCTAAAGAATGCTCCAGAAGTATTGCGTGAATGGGAAAAAATCAAGGCGCACCTAAAGAAGAAGCAGAGGACATTGGTATAGGAGACCTTGGCGAAGCTATTTAATGAGGTTCAGTTTTCTCATTTCACAATCAAACTAGCAATCCACATCCTCTTCCTCTTTTTAATTTTCTCCCTCAGTCCAAACAGACATCAAATCATTTTCTCACCATGCAGGCCGTTGAACTCTACAACCCCAATACCCCGAATTTACATTTAATACTGTTCGCCTCCACGTACTCTTTATCTGAGGATGTAAACCCACTAAACTACCAATTAACAGCGGATGACTTCATTGTCCTTACCCAAGCCGACGGACAACTTTTTTATGCTCTTGACCCTTCCACTACAACTTCTTTATTCTGGGCCTTACATCGATTGGCGCACTATATCATGAAGGCCGCATCACACAAGCTTCACAACGACCCCTCCATTCTGTTCGCCTCTGAAGGTTACATTCCCCAGTTTTATTTTGATCGCATCAACATGTGTCAACCTGACATCCTCACTATTCAAGACCAGGTTTTTCTTAACCCCCTTTGCAGGTACACTACCAGGGAAAATCTTTCCGCCTGGTACTGCGATTTTCAAACAATCGGTCGTCTCACCGTTCAGTGGATTCAGACAGCGCAATGCCAGACACTTCAGTTGGGAGCAGGAACTGGATGGAACTGGGAGGCTTGCCAAGGTCTGCGCCTCGAATATCCTGAGTGTCATCTCATCACCACAGGAAATGCGGAAGAGGGAGGAAATGATTCCTTCGCGGATGATGCCTCCGAATGGTCGACCGAAGGATTGGACGGTTGGAGCGATGGAGAACTTATGTCAGAAATGGGAGAAGGAGAGGGGAAAGAGATGGTCTTGCACCCATTTGAATCCACTTACGCTGCGCATTACCCCGGTTTCGACACCTTCATCAAGCAACCACTCATTTATAATGGTTGACTGGTGGGCAGGACTTTTATCATAAAAACAAGGTAACTGCCTATGGCTCCCTGTGTATCCATCCACACTCTTTATGATAGGGAATCATTCCTGTTACCATGTCTTTTCATTATCATAAAGCCTGCACTTTTTTCATTAAATGGAGGCAAGGCCTTAGACCTCCCTCATAAGATAGCCTGTGTTTATCATTACCAATTTCATATCTTTACAAAGGCATATCATTGCGATTTTCATTAGTTATCTGGCCAGTATCATTGGAAATTTCATTAATTATCTGGTGAGTATCATTGCAATTTTCAATGGTTACTTTGGCAATATCATTGGAAATTTCATTAGCTACTTGGGTGACATCATTGCAATTTTCATTAGTTACTTGGGCAATATCATTGGCAATTTCATTGCAATTTTCATTAGCTACTTGGGCAATATCATTGGCAATTTCATTAGTGAGCTTGAGGTGTTGCTCACTGTTGGTGACAACGTCGGGGGTGGTTTTCAGGGTCCAGGGCGCATTTCCAAATATGGTAATACAGCTGAAAATAGCCAGAAAATATCCAAAAAATCAGAAAAAAGTGGGGGATGGTGCTCATTGTTGATGATCATATTGGGTAATGTTGTCAGGGTCCAGGGTCCAGTTCCAAATATGGTAATATATCCAAAAAATGGCGGAAAAATTGAATATATATATAAATGGTGTACAGAACATCAGGCACTGCCTTCAGGGTCCATCCCAAAAGGGAAATATCACCTGGTTTTACCAAAAAGTGAAGAAAACCAAGAGGAGAATGATTTTACCTATCAGGGTCCATGTAATGGGATGTTGGGATGATGGTCACATGACCAATTACCATAAAAGGTCAAAAATGAAAGTTGTAGCCCTACACTGTAGCTTCCCAAATCTGTTTGAATTATATTCTGAAGTGCTCCCGTTGTGGAGATATGAGGTAAAGGACTTTCAAAAGTGTCATGTTTTTTTGTTGTTGTGTTTTTCTCCATGAAACAAAACCAAATAACATGATTTCAGTATATTTAGAAAGCCAAAAGAAAGGGCTACAATTATTTTATCATGGGAAAAATGACCAAAAAAGGAAGGTGCATGCCCTTAGACTACCAAGTTTACTGATAGACTACACAGTTTACTGATACACTATAAAAGACTACAAAAGTCAAACTTAGAGTACAAAGTTTGCTGATAGACTACAAAAGTCTATAGACTACCAAGTTTGCTGATAGACTACAAAAAAGTCAGACTAAGACTACAAAGTTTACTGATAAAGTCGGACTTAGACTACAAAAGCTTGGATTTAGACTACAAGGTTAGGGTTAGGGTCAAAAGGTTATCTTGACTACAAAGTTTGTAGTGTCCGCTTTTTGAGACTACAAATGTTTGTAGTTAACATGTAGTTTATGGTGTCCTTGGCCCTATCTATGTTATTGGGACAAGGTTGAAGGATTGCCATCACATTGCCAGTGCTGCAGCATTAGTTTTTGACATCATGCACAAGTTGTCTTTCACATTAGGAAAGGCTATTCTAAGCCTTCATATTGATACCTACTGTCCTATCTCAAAACATAATTCTAAGTTCATGTGAGGATATGGCTCAAGGATTGCCACTTTACATATTGCCATTGCCACATTATCAGTTTTTGACATCATGCCGAAGTTGGCTTTCAAGCCAGAGGATGCCATTCATGTTGATATCTACTGTTCTGTCTCAATACATGGTCAACTTACAATATGACCTGACTTAAGGACACCTCCAAGAATGAATCAGCCCATGACCCTATCACCCTCAAAGAGCTAATACCAAAGTTGACTATATTTGGGACAGGCCAGTAGCTATCAATGTGAAAGAAGACAGTGTGAAAGCCAACTTGGTCATGATGTCAAAAACTGGTGATGTGGCAATGGCAATATGTAAAGTCATGGCAATCCTTGAGCCATATCCTCACATGAACTTAGAATTATGTTTTGAGATAGGACAGTAGGTATCAATATGAAGGCTTAGAATAGCCTTTCCTAATGTGAAAGACAACTTGTGCATGATGTCAAAAACTAATGCTGCAGCACTGGCAATGTGATGGCAATCCTTCAACCTTGTCCCAATAACATAGATAGGGCCAAGGACACCATAAACTACATGTTAACTACAAACATTTGTAGTCTCAAAAAGCAGATACTACAAACTTTTCTAATGAAAAAGCGCACACTACAAACATTTGTAGTCTCAAAAAGCGGACACTACAAACTTTGTAGTCAAGATAACCTTTTGACCCTAACCCTAACCTTGTAGTCTAAATCCAAGCTTTTGTAGTCTAAGTCCGACTTTATCAGTAAACTTTGTAGTCTTAGTCTGACTTTTTTGTAGTCTATCAGCAAACTTGGTAGTCTATAGACTTTTGTAGTCTATCAGCAAACTTTGTACTCTAAGTTTGACTTTTGTAGTCTTTTATAGTGTATCAGTAAACTGTGTAGTCTATCAGTAAACTTGGTAGTCTAAGGGCATGCACCTTCCTTTTTTGGTCATTTTTCCCATGATAAAATAATTGTAGCCCTTTCTTTTGGCTTTCTAAATATACTGAAATCATGTTATTTGGTTTTGTTTCATGGAGAAAAACACAACAACAAAAAAACATGACACTTTTGAAAGTCCTTTACCTCATATCTCCACAACGGGAGCACTTCAGAATATAATTCAAACAGATTTGGGAAGCTACAGTGTAGGGCTACAACTTTCATTTTTGACCTTTTATGGTAATTGGTCATGTGACCATCATCCCAACATCCCATTACATGGACCCTGATAGGTAAAATCATTCTCCTCTTGGTTTTCTTCACTTTTTGGTAAAACCAGGTGATATTTCCCTTTTGGGATGGACCCTGAAGGCAGTGCCTGATGTTCTGTACACCATTTATATATATATTCAATTTTTCCGCCATTTTTTGGATATATTACCATATTTGGAACTGGACCCTGGACCCTGACAACATTACCCAATATGATCATCAACAATGAGCACCATCCCCCACTTTTTTCTGATTTTTTGGATATTTTCTGGCTATTTTCAGCTGTATTACCATATTTGGAAATGCGCCCTGGACCCTGAAAACCACCCCCGACGTTGTCACCAACAGTGAGCAACACCTCAAGCTCACTAATGAAATTGCCAATGATATTGCCCAAGTAACTAATGAAAATTGCAATGATGTCACCCAAGTAGCTAATGAAATTTCCAATGATATTGCCCAAGTAACTAATGAAATTGCCACTGATATTGCCCAAGTAACTAATGAAATTGCCAATGATATTGCCCAAGTAACTAATGAAAATCGCAATGATGTCGCCCAAGTAGCTAATGAAATTTCCAATGATATTGCCAAAGTAACCATTGAAAATCGCAATGATACTCACCAGATAATTAATGAAATTTCCAATGATACTGGCCAGATAACTAATGAAAATCGCAATGATATGCCTTTGTAAAGATATGAAATTGGTAATGATAAACACAGGCTATCTTATGAGGGAGGTCTAAGGCCTTGCCTCCATTTAATGAAAAAAGCACAGGCTTCATGATAATGAAAAGACATGGTAACAGGAATGATTCCCTATCATAAAGAGTGTGGATGGATACACAGGGAGCCATAGGCAGTTACCTTGTTTTTATGATAAAAGTGCACAACCCTGTTCTAAGGGGATTTAGTCACAGAATGGGATTCGTGCCAACAGCGAGTAGTTCTGGTGAACGTAGAAGGTGCCGGTTGCGTAATGGTGTGATGACCCTATAAGTGGGTCTGAATCTAAAATGAGTTGAAGAGAATCTGAGCACGCGAGAGTCCACTGATGCCCTGGATGACCATGAGCGTGAACGTCTCTACGTTCTCGGAAAGCCGCAGAAAGGAGTGAACAGATCCTTTCAGAGTGATGAGAAAATTCAAGAAAGCTTTGTTAACTTTCACAGGAGACACGAGCTCCTAAGGTAAGTTCTGTAAGAGCTGACCTTGATCTCCTTGAACACTTATCTTTGACGAACTTGAGTTGAGTCGTGAGTATGATGCTCATGCACAAGGCAGGAAAAGAATATGGTGAAAGAAGAGTGATATTGTTTTCTATTTACAAAGTAGATATACAAAATGTGACTAAAAATGACTAAGACGTGACTGCGTGACTCTGAAGCTGTAGGTGAGGAATTGGACTTGAGCAGAATGTGTACGTCGTTAAATGGGAAATATAATGTGGAGGGAATGCCGTAGTATTGGCCCCTTACAAAAAGTGCTAGCCACTAGTGCTGGATCCGGCATCCAGAATCGAGATCCATGCAAACGTGATACATAGTTGATGAAAGCATGTTTATCCTTAATGCCTCATTGGACTTCAGCGATGCCATTTACAGCAGCTGAGAAACGCTTGATCAATTGGAGGGCATCCACCTGATCAGAAGTGGGGAAGGTGAGCTGAATGCTAGTATGCCATAGTGCTCTCTGTTCATTGTCGAAGAAGTAGAGGTCCAGGTATGACTGGTGCAGGGCTTCTATACATTTCTCAGTATTGTGATTGACTTTTATTAATTTATTAACATATTCATGGAGTACGCTTCCTGTATCAATGGCGGGTCTCCCATCACCCCTCCAGCAAATTTGAATTCTGGACTATCACGCAGAAATCCCACAGTGGGTGTCATGATCAGCACTCTCCATTCCTTGCCCGGAATGCAGAGCTGTGCATTCCTGGTGGGGTTTAAGGGTCCCATATGACCATCATAACAACGATTAGCTTCTTCAAAGAAGTCGACACAGAGGTTTAGATTGCTTGGCCTGAGTCCTGGGCAAAAGGCGTTGCGACAAGAGTTAGGGGATGTTACTTCCCATAGTCTTTTTCCCATTCGCACCATCCTGTGATGAATAGAGGCAGGCAGTGTGTAGGTAGGAGGAGGTGGTAAGATTGGGATTTGGTCATAGTCTGCAAAGCTGGGCACTCTACTTGGAACATAGCGTCTGG